AACGAACATGGACTGCTGTGAAAGTTTGTCGTAAGCGTGACCACGGCATGACCTACGGAAACCTATGCCCAAGAATCTAAATGTCGGAACCTGAAGCCGCAAGAAATTGAGCCAAAATGGCTACCAGTTTTTGTGTTTTCCCTCGCTCTCTCACTCTCGCTGGCTCTGATGTTTTCTTTCTCGCTCTCTCCCGCGCTATATTGTACACTGTACACGACAAGCCCGCAGCAAGGCTCGGACAAAACACGAGTCTCCAGAGGACCACAATGCAGAATCATCAGCCCTCGACAGTGATGCAAGGCATGTATATCACAAAGACGACAAGACTTCAATTTGTGAAAGGCAAAGCTCTTTTCTATTGCTCGCTTTTGCGAAGATGGTGCAGATGGCGCTGCTCCGCCATGCTCCGGCATATGATTCGACGCTTGCAATCCAAGCTTTAGCAGAAGAAAGTGGCCTGGCGTTGCCGGATCAGCGATTTCAAGGGGTCATCGCCTGAGCTTCAGCCGTGCAGTTTGCAAGATCGCACCCGGCACCGCCCTCAAGCACTATCCAGACTATCCACCTAGGCCACCATCATCATCACCAGAGGCACATTTTCTGGCACCGCCATTTGCTATTCAACTGACATGTGGCATGAACTTGCCCTTGGTGCAGGAGTCTGCTGCAACTGCTGCTGCTGCTGCTGCTGATTTCCTATACCGGCTCCTACAACTATTCCTGCACCTACATCCATCGCCACAAACCCGGACCTCAAAACTGCTACCACACGACGCTGAACTCTAACCTCCTTGTCTCAGGCCTCACACCCCAAACCCCAGCCCCCTGCCCCCTAGCCCAAAGCCCTGCAAATCTTAAGCCTTCAGCCCTCAGCCCGTAACCCCAAAACCAAGCACCGGACCCTCAACAGTAAAGCCTACCAGGACCCCAAAGAACCTGCCGTTTTAAGGACTTATATGGGGGAATCATAGGTTCTTAAGGACCCAGGTAAACCCTGAAACCTAAACCCTAAACCCAAGCCCCAAGGCCCAAGACAGCCCGTCCCTCAGCAGTCCAATATCGGGGCCTGAGGTGGTTAGAATAGGGTTGTGGGGTCTATTATACTATTATACTACACTTTTTGCAATCAGGAACCCTACCTGTGGTCTCCATTGTCATTCCTTTTGTTGGTTAAACCCTTTTTAATTTTATGATTAGGATCCTCAAAAGTACCCCAAAAAAGGAACCGCAATGGAGACTCTAGGCAAGGGCTAATAATTAGAATAGGGCATCGCGATACAATTTCGTATTTGATAAGGACGCCTATTACAGTATGCTATACAATGCCGAACCCTAAGGAAAAACCCGATTTATTAAACAGGCTTCTGTATTACCTATAGGGTCATACCCTACCCCTTTTTTAAGGTACCTAGTTTTATGGTTAGGAAGTGCTATATAAACAAGTAGGTACCCTAAAAGAGGGTAGGGTATGACCCTATAGGTACTGAATCCCCCCCTCTGGGCATCTGGCTCCGCTGGAGCGCCTCACGACCCTGGAAGTGCCCGGGCACTGACCTAAACGGTCTTGATTTTCGCGCTTGTGGGTTCAGACAGTAGAGGTCTGATAAAACAATTCATTAGTATGCATTTCCCCGTAGTATAGAGGTCTGATAAGCCTGCCAGTACTATTCTGAGCATACTCATATCGCCGTAGTGTAGTCCCTGTACACTTCTATGGAGAACCTGCCTCAACACCACAGCGCTCGAAGGTTTGAAACTTTCTAGGCTTCGAGGGCTCGGGTCTTTGAGATCTCCGGTGCGGCAGACGCGGACCCGAACTTCAACAAAAGCCCACACCCGAAATCCGAACTCCAAAGCTCTGAAGCCCAAACCCAAACCCTGAAAACCCCAAAAACCAACCCTAAAACCCTAAACCCCAAACCCTGAAAAACCCTGAACCACGTTTGTAAGAGGCTTCAGAGAGATGGGGCCTTCCCGACAAGAACTAGAGCAGAGTCCCCGGAATCGCTTTTTCCGGGATTTTTATAAGGGCTCAAAAACACAGGGGCAAGCATATGGACAGTTCTTGGCTGATCTCTGTGGCAATACTGTACCGTCCAGTCCGTATGCTTCCTGAAACATCCTAAAAACTTGGATGCGTTGGAAGAACCGCTGGCCGACCGAAGCTTTGAACGGAAACTAGTACCTAGAATCTGGCAGCACCTCCAGTCCAAGAGACCGTGACCCTGCTGCTACACCCTGAGCCTCGAAGCAATACAAACCCAAGCATCCCCGTACCCTTCACTCCAGAACTCTGAAGCCTCCCTAAACCCTAAACCCTCAACCCCTTGTGTGCTTCTGAGTGGCGCCGGGGTTGAGTTCAGGTACTTCATGACCTGGTGCCTGGCTGGGATCGGCGGGAAGGGGTGGGAAGCGCAGCGCTGCATCCTTCTATAAGGGCCTGACTACCCCAGAACCACAGGCTTGCATTTTACATGTGGTAGGATTAAAGTGTTAATGTGGGCCCAGACAAGCTTAAGGTTACTCACTTAGCCACCATAGTATTGCCAACGTGGTTGGCGCAACTTTCAAGGTCTCTTGTCTTGCAGCTTGCCGTCTTAATCCACGCAGCGGAGTTCAAACACGCTGCCGCAGAACATGAAACTCTTAACATCACGTTTATTCTAGATTCTAGTACACCTTAAGCAAAGAATTCAGAAAAGGGTTCTATAAGGGATTATAGATCCCTTATCTAACAAGGTACAAGTTATCCAGATGGTGCCACTTGCTTCACCCTATGTATACACCCTCTCTGCGCATGTCCAGCTCGCATTTTTCGTTCTCCCCTAGGCTAGACCAGGAAGTCAGTGATGGCTGCCAGCACATCTTCGCCTGGGCAGCTCAAGCGTTGAGAATGTGATTCCAAGAGCATTGCTTAATCGGATGATGGGTGGTTGGCTGGCATGTTCTGGAATGCATGCAGAGCTTTGATGTTTGGAAGTAGCTGTAGCGACGGCTCGTGATGATACCGCCTGTGAACCACTGTATGAACTGCCAGTGAAAGTGGCACTACGATCTACAATCCCTGCTGCCAAGAATCTTAGTTTGCCTGGATTTCGATGTGTCAAATAGTTCTCACCACTTGAGACGGTGCAGAGGGCATTCTCGGTGAGTCTTGTTTAATTTACGTGGGAAGGAACGGGCATCTCCGGTGGGACTTCGGTGCTAGTCTCACTAGCCTAGCGATTTTGGCGTGACTGAACATTTCAGCTTAGGTTTTAGGGCTGGCTGGGGTGCGCAGCGGTTTGTTAAAGGCAACACATGCCTCGTTCCTCCTTCTTCCAATGCAAAAATACAACCTGACGAGCTTCAACGAAACGGAAGCCTTGCATTGCCTTAGCCTTAGACTCCTACCTAAACCCCCCAAAGTATGTAGAACAATAGCTTGTTAATGACTTTGGGCCATTATTTTACCTACTTTGGGGGGTTTAGGTATGTTTAAACTCTAACCCAAACAGGCAGGAAGGCGAGACTCGCAGTATATCGCGATGTACGGAGTCATGCCAATTGCACCAAGACAGCCATCTAATATAGGGGCCTTAATAATTAGAATAGGGTTTCGTGGTCAATTATACTATACTTAGAATTAGGAACCCCCAAAATAGTATAGGTAATTATTTAGGCCCCCATATTGCCAGACAGCTCACGCTCAAGTCATGAGGCAGCAGATTCCAACAAGACTAGACACAGTGCGGTAATACAAGTATCTGTCATTGACCGTTTGCAGGGAGTC